TCCCTCTATGATTTCTACCAGTCTCTATATCCTACCGGTACTGGTGCTTACCATCAGTCCCGCCCAGCCAGCGAGACCGGCTCTACTAGCTGAGAGGTATCTATAATGCTTCCCCCATCTACCAGAGGTATTAGAGACTGCTGTTGGGCGGGAAACGTCCGTAATTTTGGCTCAGTGACCTCCTTTGGAGATATGAGGTTCTTTTATGTGCCGTAAAGCTACAACACGGGACCCACGGCTTAAAGTCCCTCCCGGAGGACTTGTCCCCTGAATTTTTCCGCCCTTAAAAATTCGATGACCTCCACCGGGTATTTGAACCCACATACTACGATTCATGAGGTGGGAACGTTACCTCTAGACTACGGAGGCCACTGTAACACATCCTAAGTCCCATAGTAGATTCAGTACAAATACTGCCATAGTTTAAATTAATTTTTTATAAATATATCACGTTCATGGTTTTGGACACCTGCATTCAGTTCCACCCTTAGCAATAGAGGTGAGAAACTATCCCATCAAAAGCAGACATGTATTTCATACAGAAGTTTGCATAGCAGTCACAGCATTTGCTCCGTCATAAGACTTGCATATTTATTAATAATTTCTTGTCATTTTCTCATTTATGTTGGCACTGAGAAGGTTAAATATTTCATATTATACTAATTTGCACGAATTATCTTTTTTCAGCATAATATCTGTGAAGGCAAAGTCATTTGCAGATCGTGAAATAAGATATACTCTGAAGGCTCAGGGGCAGGGTGCAGGTACGTTTAACATTGGCCCCACTTCAGGCATAGTAAAACTTGCCAAGGAACTTGACTTTGAAGATCTAAGACAGCCACACGTATACTCACTCATTGTGACAGCAACTGAGGACTCTGGAGGCTTCTCCACTTCAGTTGAGGTGGGATGATATTTGTTTTATTAGCCTACTTTCCTTATTTTGAAAAATATGAGCGCAGACTTATGGACCATCTTGCTGCATGTGTGTCTGTGCATCCCTCCCTATTGTTGCCATGCAGTGGCTTGGTAAACATGTTCTCATGGCAGCTAATGCACACAACAAAAGAAGAATTGTTGTACCTCTGAGATAATATGATAAAAGTTTAATGAAGGAAGTAATTAATTAAGAAAATATAGCACCAGTGGAGTAAATGCTTGGAAGTTTAAGATATGAAATGTAGGATTAGGTGCAAATATGCAACTAGCTGGATTGGAGGATACAAGACTGTTTAGGGGTGTTAATGGCTGAACCTTGAACTTCACAGAGATAATCAGATTCACCAGTTTACTTAATGCACTTACATATTTTGTCACTGTTTCTTATACAAAATGCAGTTTTATGCTTCAGCATGGATATTGTTGGTTGATTTCTGAGTTTGTGTTGGTGAATTCAGTTGTTAACATAATTTTGTAATTTGGAAAGCCCTCATTATAATAGACCCCGATACAACTGAGTTTGGATGTAATGGACAGAATCTGGCTTTGTACAATTATTAATTTCTAGAGATGGTGAGGCACTAGGAAGGTTTCATAGTTGGAAAACTATTTAAAATAAAAAGGAACTGCAATATAAGAATCTTTATTTAATCACATTGTGTGTTTTGTGTTTTCTTCATGTATCGGCTGTGTATCATATGGTGTGCTTCCCTGCTCCTGCGACTGCGTGTGTTATACTGTTATACAGTATAACACACGCAGTCGCAGGAGCACGACACAACAAAACCACAACACACAAGATAGTGAAGGAGAGCTCCAACAAAGGAGAATGGGCGTGAC